GGAAGCGGCTTTAGATTCTCAGTGTTGTGCTTTACCCCGCTGCGCCACCAGGGAGGGCCCGGAAATTATTACTTTTAAAGGTAAGAGAACAGATCTATCACAAGGAGTCTAGATATAAATTGTACTCTTCAGACTGTATTTTTATTCTGGGAAAATTCTTTTTTATAGTTATGAATTCATTGGCATAGAGATATTGTTTGCTATGAAGCATTACATCTGATTAGCCAAGGCACGTAATTGAAGTGTAAACTACAAGGAAGAAGCTCTAGGACCATCCTTCACATTTGTACTGCCATGTGTTTGAGCACCATCTCCTTCTATCCTCATTAGCATGGTAGTGTTACAGTAAAATGATTTCAAAGATTCAACGCTTACTGAAATCTTGACATCCCTATAGAATCTCCCGTGGAATTAAAATCCACGAATGTACTAAAAATATATTCAAAGCATAGTACTTAATTTTTTTTCATAAAGTAAAATAAAACATGATCAGTGAGTGATCCTCAAAATTATGGGAATTATCACTTATGACAGTAACTATAATGAGAACATACATACTTTGCACTAAGCTTGTTTGCACATGTAGATTTTTTTGTCTTCCTTAAGGACAGGTTTCATAATTGTTACTACTTTATTTTGCTAAACAGCAGCAGGACACAGAATTTCAGCAATTTAGCCAAGGTTACACTGCTGTGGATAAACTTATTACTAGACACAGATCTTCTAAGCCCCAGTCCAGGATTTTTGCCACTGTTACCTGCATCTCTCCTAGAGTTCACCTGTGCATCTTTTCCTTTATTTTGTCAGTATTTAAATGATTTTTCTTACCCTATGAAACTCAATTATTTTCTTTCTGTTTTACATGTACAACCTTTCACAAAAACTTCACTCACAGAGACTTCAAGTTTCTACCTTCAAGCCATTTTTTTCTTTCTGACTGTTGCCAAAACTATAATTCAGTTTACTATTGATATATTATACCTTCGCTAGCCCTCTAGTTTTTAGGGGAAAGCACTAAAAAGAAATTTATTGGTAGCATAGTTTTCCATCAGCTTTATAATCTTCTTTCATAACTTACACAACTTCTGGTAAAATGTGCCAATGTTAAAGTTAATTTATACAATACTAAGAATAGTCTTGGAATTATAATGATCAGTGTTAATCTTGCACCCTAAGTATCACCTAGCTTTTTACGTCTGTTTTGAAAACAACATGGTGTCTTTATGGCCAAGACAGGTGCATGTTCTCCTCTGTCCCCTCCATACCCTGGATCAGTCCTTTCCAATGAAGTTTGGAAGGGTTTTGGTAGTGTCTTCTAAAATACTAGACCTCCTGCCACTGGAACCCAAATCATGTTGTATCCCACATACTGTGGTTTCGGTGTTCATATCACTCTTAAAATCTAAATTTAGAGTAAAAGAGTTTTGTTTCAGAAATAGCCATGCTGGAAAGATTACTTTATCAGTAACAAGAGTGTAGACTTTCATCCCATGTATGTTAATTAATTCAAACAATTTTTACTAAAATCTCAGGAATAAAGAAGAAAAACAATTATATTTGAATTACCATATAATTCTTGTTTCATAATTCCATGCTACCCAAAGAGATAATCTTTAGTGTTGATTATGTATGGGTTTATTATTGAGTAAATGAGACACTTAACAATTAAGAGTGGTTTCATTTTATGATGAAATAAAGAAGACTTTCTTTATAGATGGGCAAGTTGTTAAAATGATAAACTTCAAGAGGGGAAGAAAAATGGTATTTCTTGCCTTTTAGATAAGGTAATGAGTTATCTATCTTCAGGAAACTTTCATCTAATTTCAATTTCTGATGCAAAATAATGTCAGCTTGTCTTTTTAAACTATCTGCATGGCGAACAAGAAACTGAAATTTAAGTAATACATCTGTTTTTAAACCATCATTTGACCTGAAAAACAAAAACAGCATAATAAATGAGTGAAGTCATGGCTATATTAATCATTATTTTAATTCTCATTATTTAAATATTAATTATAGCTTCAAGAAAATACAGGATAGATATTTTATACATTTTGTTTTCATCAGTTTTTTTCTTCTTTCTGTACATATGTGTTACTGCCTGGGTTATTCCCTCTTCAACCATATTCAGGAAAGGGAGTGTATCTGAGAGTGCCACTTTTTTTCTTTTTGGATCTATATAGATCAGAAGCACTTATTAAATTTATCAACTGTATAAATATGTGTTATATATAGATCCATATAAATATAAATTCCTGACCTTTAAAAATTCATAACATCTGCTGCTTATTAGAATCTTTAGCTAAAATGTCTATTAAAACAAAAACAATATATGTAGTGACTACCCACCGTAAGAAACTCTATAGTTACTCTATAGAGGAGGACCAACAATTAAATGTAGTAACATTAAATTATTTTTGCATATGATATATCTAAGATTGTTAGGTCCTATTCAGAAAGCAAATAAGTGAAGACCAATTCAATATTAGTTTTCTGTTCATTATACAAATTAATTAGTTGTGATTACCTAAAGTTGGCAACATGAGACTTGATGTAATAACGATTTAAACTGGATCTTTGAAATATATTATCTATCTGAGAAAAGAAAAAAAAACAATATAAAATTTTGTAAATATGAATTTCATACAATTCAATATATCACAAGAATGCATGTATAAAATGTATAGTCATTCAAATAGCATTTACTTCCAAATTTGTTTACAACTGTTGCCAGAAGTCTCATCTGGGCATAATCCTGTTGTCATAAAATCATCTATATTATTTGAATAAACTTGTCACCTGGTTAAAGATGATTGATAATAATGACTTGAGTTAAGCTAAGTGTTTCAATGACTACTACAAAATACACACAGATTTAGGGGTACAGAAACTTGCTTTGTTTAGCTTGATTTTTATCAGCCTATTGCCTAGCATCATTCAAGTTCAGTTATCCATGAAGATGTAAATGAAGGATCAGTTTTATTAGGTTTTAGTAAAAACTTTTTAGGCCTTGTTTTGATTCCATGGCAATTGTAGGAAAGGACGAAAATTGTAATTGGAGGACTTTTTAAAAATGAATATTGTCATTAAGAAAAATGCATAAATACTTGTTTAGAATGGGATATCGCTGAATATCCCATTTACATGTCATTTCAGATTTCCTATATGTAATAATTTCAATGTGGTATAAACTCTTAGAAGAAATTAGTACCAAAAACATAGCTTGTTAAAGAATCTGTGGTTTTACAAACCTGTTTATTAGCATTGACACTTCAAACTGGCTGCTCAGATAAAAAGACTAATATATGACCTGCCGAACCTTAAGTAAACTAGTCTCAATAATTAGTCGCACTAATCAGAAGGGAGGAATTGTCAAATTGTGGACATGGGTGTGTGGCAATCATGTACTCACATGATTTGATTTTTGACACTTTGTCTGGTGAAGTATTGTGCGTTGCCATATTGGATATGTTGCTGAACATAAATTTATTGACAAAGCAATAGTTATTCAAATACAAATTGTCATGTGTTTTTCTTCTAGCTGGCTATATGAAGGGAATTTTTCTAAGGAAACTTTCTATACACGTACATTTATATGGTAAAGCTAATGTGCATTCTTTGTAAGAAATATATATGAAAGGCAAGTAACATACCAAGGAATAAATGAAAATAAAATATTAAGATCTTTTCTAAATTAGTTATTTACTATATATCTATATTTACATACATGTTTTTACATACATTAGTATATGTTAATATATATTTTCTGCCTTCCTCTTCTTATTTTTGTTCCAATTTCATTTTTTTTGTTGTTTCTCTTTAAATCTCAGTTCTGCAAACAACATATAACTCATGGAAATTGAGCATTTAAACAGATTATTAAACTCCACAAGAAATCTCTATAATTCATTTTAGAAACTGGTTTTAATTTCTTCTAGAAAATGTTCTCTCAATCTACAATGTATAATTTGTGCTAACTAATTCACAGCACATGTGATGGACCATCTAAGAGTAAACTTCATATTTTTAATTGAAAAGAATAAAAAGAAGAATGTTTTATGACATCTTAAAATTTTGCAAAATTCTACTTTCAGTGTCTGTCATAAGTTTTATTGGGCATGATCACAGTCATTTGCTGATATCTTGTCTATGGTACATTTACATTACAATGAGGTAAATAGTTGGAGAATGACTTATGACTTCTAAATAAAAAAAAATCATCTGGCCTTGTATAGAAAATATTTGCCAATTCCTGTTCTAAATCACTAAACTTTTTAATACTGTCTTCATGAATACTCTACAGGACAGGATAAATACCAGTGAATTAACTAGCTATCACCTTGATGAGTTCAAGCTATGGCTTTACCACATGACAGATGTCATGAGAGGCACCAGAAATATAAGAATAAAAAGGCTAAGACCTAGAATAAATGAATTCACAGGTCCAGTGGGGCATAAGTGTGTAAAATCACAATAAATTACAAAGCAGAATTGCTTTAACAGAAGTGTGTGCAGTTTTGTGAGAAAACAGGAACAAAATACTAACATTTATTCAGATATTGCAGCTCATTCTCTTTATTCACTACACAAATAAATTCACAGACTCAGAGAGGTGAGTTAAATTATCCTTACTCTATAGCTTTTCTAGAGTTATGATTAGCAAAAGGTAAAACTGGGATATTCACTTAGATATTCTTACTTTAAAACTTAACCTATCTCTAATACATTGCTTCCTATACCAAAATTTTCCTACCCCTATTTTTACACCCAATCAAAATTTCCTTAGGATGTGTTTGTTGAAAATTCATACCAACTCTCCTCAGTTGTATTCTTTAATGTCTTCCTTCAGCTTCTGCTTTTGGTTGGGAAATACGTAAAGAAATCTTTCTTAACCTGGCAAGAAAGATCTCTCATCTTTGGTCAATACTAGGCTTAGTAGAAGTTGCATGCACATTTCAAGTCTTCCATGGGAAAGTTAGTTCGGATGTTTCTGTGCATATTTTCAGGAATAAATATTTGGTGTAAATTACCTCATGGGAAATACATCAGTCTCATATATGTAGTAAGTGCTTACTATATAACATGCACAGATATTATTTGTATTTGAATGACTGGGTTTTATTTCCAGATAACTCTGGTAATTTTTTTTTTTTTGTATTTAAGCTATTTATTTTTCTGTTGTACCTATGTTATTTAGTCTTTGATGCAGTTATCCTTTATCTAAAATATTCTTCCAATTTTCCTAAGACAATATTGGTTAGAATTGTCATAAATAGCAAAAAAATACAGTTAAATTTTAAGTTTAAATAAATGATTGATTTCCATATAAGCTTGTTTCAAATGTTGTAATCCAAAATTAGGATTTAACTGGGCATTTTGTATTTTATCTGAAAACCTTAATATAAGTACAATTTGTGTACTCTAAACTCACCACTTATTTTAATTTCTTCCACAGTAGTATTGTCAGGTTAGAAATGATGCCAGCAAAGGTCAGAATTACCTCATTATTGACTTTTTGTTCCAATTCATTTCTAATTTTTGAGTGTTCTACTAACACTTCAGGATTATATTCAACACTGGGGATTTGAAAAGAGCTTTGGTAATAATGAGACTTCTGATCTGGAAGGGAGAACAAAAATAATGATAAGATGTAATATATTCTCATGAATTGACCTCAAAGTTAGAATGGCTACTAAAATAATTTTGTGTTCTTAGTACATTAAACCATAAGATAACAGTCTGTGAATCTATTATTCAAGAGGTGATAACATGAGCTGAGTCCAATTTTAAATGCTAGAAGTGATTCTTAAATATAAAGGATTATCATTTCCAATTTTGCATACATTTATATAACAATATTGCATAATGCAAATTACATATAAGTGTAAACAAATTATTACAGTGAATATCCTAAAAATATTTAACATATTAAGAATTTTGAAATTGAGTGTATCTTCAAACTTTCAAATTACTTTGAAAAGGATACTTACAAAATGCTAAAAAATAAACAAGGAGAGCGATGATTATTGCCAGAACCAACACAACAGCTGTAACAATAAGTGCAGTCATCCATGGTTTCAAAGAACTTGTTCTACCCAGTATTGCTGGCCTTTTGAGAGAGAATTGTACATTAAAAACAAACATCTTAAACACTAGAGTCTTTGTTTCACATAGTTTTGGTATAAAATGCTTTTTTTCCTAGAATTCTGATTAACCCATATTGCATTTGGCAACATTTGAATATAAATTTCTATTAAAAAAATTAGAAAAATCACCAGGAACTTAATTGAGCATTTATTTATTGAGGTAACACTGGGTTTCCACATTGAGTATAATTTGGGTGTATGGGTTAGAAACTCTTCAGATGTATGTTGCACGTACTCTTCAGATGTGTGTTGCACGTACTCTTCAGATGTATGTTACAGGTACTCTTCAGATGTATGTTACAGGTACTCTTCAGATGTATGTTGCATGTACTCTTCAGATGTATGTTGCACGTACTCTTCAGATGTATGTTGCACACACATACTCTTCAAATGTGTGTTGCACATACTCTTCAGATGTGTGCTACAAATACTCTTCAGATGTATGTTGGACATATGCTTCAGATGTGTGTACATCTACCACATTCCATTGGGCCTCTCCCTCTCTTTGTTCCCCTCCACCCACCATCTTCTGATAGCTTCAGTTCCACATTTAGAGTTCTAGAGTTTGTTTTAGTTTAGTTTTTCTGTTTCCTTGTTTTGTTTCTCTGTATTCTACATATGAGTAAAAACACCTGGTATTTTTCTCGTTCTCACTTCATACAGTATAATCTTCTCCAGATCCATACATATTGTCACAAATGGCAAGGTTTCATCTTATTAAATAGCTAAGTTATATTTCATTTTATATGCAGATCTCACACTTTTTAAAAATATATTTATTGCATCATCCTTCATTTTTGTGCATTTCCCCATGAAATTCTCACCACCAGTTCACCCATGCACCATCATCATAGTCCCATGTTCTTTCTATTCCTGTCCAAATCCTTCTCCCTCCTTCCCTACAGAATGTCTCTGATCTATAGTTGCCTGATGATTTTGATTTTTACTTCATTATAGTTACTCTTTTTTTTTTTCCTGATTCCTTATTTGGTTTCTCTACATTCCTCCTACAAGTAAGCCCATTCAGTGCTTTAAAAAAGAAATCTTGATGACCTTCCTTTCAAAGATTATATTCTTACAAAGGAAGCATATAAAGTATACCAGTTATATACAGAGCTGTAAGAATTTCTAAGAGTTTATTTGACTCTTAAAAAGGACTGCAATTTCTCTTTGAAGAAAATAATAGCTAAAAATAATAACATTTATAAAGTTTGAAAATCTGAATCCACCTTCCAATCTTCTCTGAGTCAGATAAACCTTTCATTAAGAGGTAGCTTGTTTTGCAGGCAGCTTATCTTCTAAAAGATGTAGTTTCCTGTTGAACTGTTCATTTCTAAAACTGGAAACATCACTGTGACTGAACTATAGTGTTATGTATGAGTCACAATGAAAAATTGTTTTTTATTCCTTTTACCACACGGTCATGCCTGAAAATATTCCTAGAACAACCTAAGTGTAAATTAAAAATGGACTATTTTCAATGAAGAATTTCAGTGTTGTTTCAGATTGGTGGATATCAACTCATGTACTAAACCACAAGCCAGGTAGTAGAAAGACTTGACCTATTTGCTACACAAATGATTTTTTTTAAATTTATTTATGCATACAAGAACTGCTGTGTAGGCCAGAGATGTGTAGGTAAGAGTATTCACTAAAGACAGAGTAGGGAGGAGTACAGACAGATCTTTTTTTTTAAAAAGATTTATTTATTTGTGCATACAGAACTGGGGTACAAGCCAGAGGTGCAGGACAGTGAAGGATTCACCAGAGACGGAGTGGGGAGCAGAACAGGCAGATCGAGGAAGTACACTGCTGAGGGGAGCAGTGGCGGGTCAGGAGAGGTCTGCCACGCCATGTGGATCACCTCCAGGGCAGGTGGGGATTGAACTCATGCTGAAGTGGCTTTAGCTTCTTAGTGCTGTGCTTTAAGGGCCTCTTTTTTTTTTCTTTTTTAAAGATTTACTTATTTATGCATATAGAACTAAGGTATAGGCCAGAGATGTAGGGGCAGTGAGAGGCTTCACCAAAGACAGAGTGGGTAGCAGAATGGGTAGATCAATGAAGAAGTACACTGCTCAGGGGAGCAGCAGGTGAGACAGGAGAGGTCTGCTGCACCTTGTGGATCATCTCCAGGCCGGGAATTGAACTTGCACTGAAGTGGCTGTGGCTGCTTGCAGTGCTGCGTCCTAACCTGCTGTGCCACCAGGGAGGGCCAGAACAGGCAGATCTACTGAAATACACTGCTGAGGGGAAACAGTGAATGAGACAGGAGAGGTCTCCTATACCATGTGGATTAACTTCATGGCCTGGGGATCAAACTCATGCTGCAGTGGCTGCCGATAGCTTCATAGTGCTAAGACTTAACATCTTGCACCACCAGGAATGCCAACACAAAAACTCTTTTTAACTGAAAGTTTTGCTAGAAGTTAATTATTTCTAAAATGATAGTAAGAGAAATGCAATCAAGTCTTCACCAGGAATCAAAATATAATTATAAACTTTATACTTAAGGGTCAAGGCATTCCTCTCCTTGTTTCTTCTTGACTTCTCCCATCTCCTAATTCTTCCAATTCAAATAACTTAATTTTTGCCAGATTATCTTAGCAACTTTTGGTAGGCTAAATAGGTTTATTGTGCAGGAAAGTCCACTCTTAGAGAAATCTTTGACAGTCAATCAAAAGAAAGTATGTGACCACACCTTTGAGATACTCTATTCCGAAGTGAAGATGAGCACAATGTATAGTTGCCTGCTAGTTTAGCCTTTTCCCTCCATCCCATTATTTAGTTCCTCTATATTCCTCTTATAAGTGAAGCTAGCTAATATTTTTCTTCTTTCTGACTATTTTATTGAGCATAATCCCTGCTAACTCCATCCATGGCCATTTGGGATGTTTCCAGGTCTTAGCTATTATAAATAGTATTGTAATTAACATAGGGATGCAGGTATCCTTTTGAATTATTATTTTTTTTAATATGATCTGAGAGGCAGCACTTATACAGATTGGGAAGCAGCTTGGGAGCCAAGCAAGCAAAGCCTTGCACATCACCATGGATAGTGGGCGAAAGAGATTCCAAGCTTGGGGCAAGGAGAGATATCAGAGTCTGCAAGAGTAATCACAGGGTTCAGAAGCTGGCATTATGTGGTGAGTATATTTTGGAGCATCCATAGGGGAAGAATTACTGAACAAAAATAACTGGATATGGGAGAATTTAAGAGCAGACAAGAGGGTGAATCATCTAGCTCGGGTTTTAATCTATCACCTCAGAAAGACTCAACGAAAATTGTTGTTATGCAAATATCAGGAGGTAGTGTTGTTATTTTCATAATGACAGTGGCTTAGCAATGATGACAATCATCACTTTAATTATACCACCCACATAATGAGACTATCATAAAATCTATGAGTATGTGGGTAGAAAATACTAAAAGTGCAAAATAATAAATGAAGATTCATACTTCCTTTCATGTTTCATGTACTAACGAGTGGTGAGTCTTGTTTCTATATCTCCACATTATGCAAATAAGGACATAATACTTCACAAATTAGTATTCGGTTGATGTCATAACTAAAGCCTGGTAAAAAATACAGGTGTTTTAGTTGACAAGAGTTCAAAAGAGAATCAAGTTCAGAGAGAGCTACTCTTCAGAGCTTTCCCCATAATGTTAATTTACATAATAAAGTTCTATGACAATCAGCTTCTTAAAGGGCATTTTAGAGTTTTGAGGTACTTGAAATCTGAGGAAGACCAAGAAGGGTGTGCATGCTGTTATCTTGCCAGAGAGAGCAGTGTTTTCCCACCACTCTGCCAGCTCACACCAGAGGAACCCATGTAAGGATGACTAAGAAAATATGTGTCTGGTGTGGGTAGCTTAGGTTAGGTGGTATATTTGCCTGCTTTTGCTGTTCTCAAATTAAGTATAATTTATCCTTAACCTCTCTCTCCTTGTTATTTATATACATTTTAACCTCCACAAGAAAGCAGGTTTTAAACACTGAAACAAGAACAAATATATCTTATCAATCTTTTCTAATGGACACATTCTGCTGTCACTAGATCTGATCATTGAGAAATAGTTTTATTTAAAATTTGAAACTAAAAGTAAGGCTTTTCTCAGTTCAGAAAGAAATATCAAAAGAGCTAAGTGATATTGCCCAAAGGGTAGGATTATGATAGGTAGGTGATTTGACGGCTTTAGTGAACAATAGTGCCAGGAATTTTTACATTGAATGGAACTACAGTTTTTGAACTTTCAGAGCCATTTGGTGCCCTCCTGCTTATCTTTCTCCTTTTTCTTAATTTACTTCTTAAGTAGCTTTATTGAGATATAATTCACATGCCATACATTTCAGTGATTTTCAGTATATTCATAAAGATGGCCATCTAATCAATTTGCAAACATTTCATTATTCCAAAAGAAACTCATACCATTGTCACCTCCTTTTTGTCCCTAAGCCTAGATATCATACTAGCCTGTTAGTTTTTTATGAGTTTCTGTATTCTACACATTTCATATAAATGGAATCAAGTAAAATGTTGTCTTTTATAGACAGAATCTATCTAGATCATATAACTCTGTTTAAACTTGAGAGAACTGCTATACTTTTCCAAGGTGGCTGTGGCATTTTACACTCCTACCAACAATATATAAGTGCTACACATCCTTACTAGTTCTTTTCTATTCTTTTTTTACTTGCTGCTTCAAATTGCTTCTGTTGCTTTTCCTCACTTTCTTCATTTGTCATTTTCTTATTCCACTCTTTATTTTTCTTTCCTTTATTAAAACTTATTTTAGAAAGAAAACTATGTTAGTAGAATCAGACATAATTTCCTAGATTACCCATTCCCTGAAATTTGAAATATATGACATTCCTCTTTCTGCAACTCCTTCACCTAATCAGTTTACTTCTGAATGGTCTTTCC